AAGAACACATTAACCAAAACACAGTGAGATGTCTCGTTGCTCAAAAAATTTTTAGTTTCAAGGAACGAGCCGAGAGAGATTGAAAATATTGATGTAAAAGATCTCGACGTGTTAATCGCCAATTTCTACTTCAAGTTCGAAAGAAAGACGGAGAACAATACGAACGCCCAATGAAGTGAGTTTGTTTACGCAACTTTATGGAATGTTAAAGTTACCTTTTCAAATAATAAATGACAGTCACTTCCACGTAATCATAGAATCCATGTTTCATGGTAAAGGCCTGCCTTCCGATATATGTCCTACAGATGGATAGTAACTTTTCTCATCGCTGGGTACAATGCAACCATCCCATATTCCTGTCACGGCGTTTTCACAGACCGATCTATTTTTAGTTTGAATTTACCGCGAATTCAGTCCACCGCGGGAAAACTCAGTGCCCAATCACGCCCAATGACGTCATCATTTCACCGGAAGATTAAAAGGAAAAACAAAATAGCGGAGATATGCAAGGAATCGTCTGATAGTTCTAGTGTAGATTCCTGTGAAGCTGGCTTCCGAGGGAAACACTAACTTTAAACGCTTATAACTTTAAAATTATTGAAACAAAGAACTCCAAATTTAGCGACCTGTACTAAAATTTGTCTGGGAACAATTTGGCATGACATGTCATTGTTGAAAGTAAATTGATGTTCTCGTGCTCACCATGTTTTAGGAAGTCAAAGATCCCCCGGTTCCAGGAAACCAAAAGGCCTGTCTGATTACAACTAAGCTGGGCTCTTTTTTGCCACTCAGTAGTTTACGGTTTAATTTCTCTTAATTCGCGACATAAATTTGCTTTGTTTCTAATCTTTCGCGATTACCGTTAGCAAACTCGTGTCCAGAGTTTTCTCTTTAAGTTTCAGGGAAAAGTATTGGGACTCGAGGTTGCATTGTTAGCGGGACGATGTCAGTCATGCGGATACTCTCCACACGCTCAAAGTCTTCCCCCTGCCGCAAAGAGGACACCTACCCTGCACTGAAAAACTTCTGAACATAAAAAAGTAATCAAAGTCGTGTTAGTTAGAACTAACATGCGCAAAGTTCTGTCAACTGCTCAAGCTGCTGTGCAGGATTGAAGAAAATAAAATTACAAACAATAACTTAATATTTCTCTTTACTGAATGCACAAAGAGCTCAATGCCTGCTTCATGCCTTCTTTTATAAAATATTAAATTTATTTTCCGCAAGCCCGCATGATACTTCCCTTTTGTCACTGCTCGTACTCCATCTCCTTTAACTGCTTACCAAAAATCTCAAGCCAATTTCTGCGTGTCCTTTGGTTATAATTACCTTATATCAGCTCTTAACCATTCTACCACTCGAAAGAAGAGCTGTGGTAAACTTTTGGCTACTGGAGATGGCAGCCAGAGAATGTAAAGGAGTTTTAATAGGTCACTTGCAAGTGTATATTGACTTTTTTTTTTTCAGGCAGAAACACTACATCGTTGATAACCGAAATGGAACAAGTTACTCTTTACTTTAACAGTTCCAATCCATAACCTCCCACCGCAAAGTCTAGGCGCTATACCAATGATCTACACAGCTGTTTCGAGAAAAATTCCCTCCACAAAAAGGCGCACATTCTTGCCCCAGAAATCTCTTCCCTTCAGATGTGACCAGAAAGGTGAAACGGTCTACCGCAGCTATTTTGGGCAGTGAAAGTAATTCATTGTTTCTTGATCACAGAGCCTTGAATCTCAGCGCGGTGGAATATGGAATAATGATAGCTCTTTTCTATGAGCCTGCTAAGAATTTTTCTATTCAGGTAATCACGAACCATGGCCTTCTATCAAGTAACATTTAACTACCACCACCATAATAACGTATGAGAACCTCCTCTTTGTCGACAGCTGCTCCACATCTAG